GTGTAAGGACGTGCAAGCATAAGGGCGGCTTGGGATTTACATAAGATTATGCGTAAACCTTCGTATGCCTCGCGGAAAGGGGGTCGACGAAATGATGTCGCGGCGAAACAACGCTCCGGGGTGCGCTCATCTCGCACTGATAATTATAATAAAGCGGCATTATATGACGTACGAGCGACGCGATAAGCGTCATTGTCGATTCTAGTAAAGTACAAGCGATCAGATGCGATTTAAAATTTTTTTTATCAGTTTTGTAATATGATCTGACTTTAAATTTTATAAAAAGTTATGTAGCGATATTATCCCGAATATGTATAAGAAAAGAAACTTTATTGATTAATTGTTCTTGTGTGTTCGCAATTTTATTATTTTATTATAATATACATATTTTATATATATATTTTTTTACTTGCATATAATATATAGTCTAATTTTTACTAAATATTTGTATAGATGAAATTGTAATGTATAAAATAAGAAATGTTCTTAATAAATAAAATGACGCAAAAATAATGTAATATTACAATACAAGTATCTTTAAAATTGAATTAATAAATTATGTGTTATACACACATCACATGTGATTGATTCATGTAAGTAAGTATATAAATTATAAACGTTTTTTTCCTATGCGCTCCGGTATATAAAAAATGATAAAATCGATTTTTTTATATACCGGTACAAAAATCAATTTTTACTTGATCTGCGAACTACTTTATATTTCAATAAGCCAACAGGATTTATTATCACGCGCATAGCTGTTCTTTGCCTTGTGGCGTTGTTAAATCTTACCTCCCATCCCATGGTATATTTTGTATTCATAGTCTGAGCGAAAATTGCTCCTAGAGCACAATAAAGATTATACGAACCATAAAGTAAGTTCAGCTTAACTTGCCGATGTTTATTTAAGCGTGTGAGATATATTACGAGAAACTTTTCTTTAATTTTATCTCCGTGTGCTCATCCCTTATATCCTTACATTTTCTTTTCATATTAATCCTTTTCTCTTGCGGCTCTCGTGAAACTCAGTTGAGCCAAACCGACCGTGGTTACTGCGAAACCATCGTCGGTGTGTATATCGACAGAGTGAGAGATTTTCTCCGTTGGACATCGACAGTACTGACTGGAATTCTGAATGAATCTGCACTCTTACGAAAATGTCTGGAACTACGCGAACATTCGTCCTGAAGTACGATTAACAAGGAAGGTTGCATCTTTCCTATGAAGTATGATAGGAACAAATTAAAATCGCAGTCTTGCAAATTAAGAAATCGTGGAAAACATTCCTGCAAGAATTATTGATCGATATAAGGTGCATGTTAATGTTTAATTAATAAATTTAAAATCTTTTCCCATTCTTTTTTTACACGAAGAAAATGTTACGAACGCAAATTGTGTCTATCTTGCGACATGACTCTTCCATTTTTATATCTATGTTTTTTAATAACCTTCACACGTCGCAAATTTCGGCTGGATTAAACAAAGCAAAAAAAAATAAAAAATGTGATGCTATACCTGTAGCCGTGGTAAGTATTATATGGCGATATACACTTTCCATAGCATAAAAAATTCTTTACATAGTAGACAAAATATTTGCTCAAAACTTATGGAAGGAATTTATGCGCAAATATCCGCTAAACTATTACATATTATATACGTTTATTTTATTTAAGTTATCTCATCAAATAAAATGTATTTCAATACTTACTGTATCGATTTTCGAATACGGCATCTTATAGAATATTATTAATTTAAATATATTATTTCTCATATAAATGTTTAAATGCTAAATAAATATAAAATATGTCATGTATGAGCCTTCTAAAAGATTTCAAATAATGATTAATAATTTATTACATAGTTATTTGAATTATCCAGAATTTTTAACACGACAAACGCGATTACCATACTTTTAATATATAAAAAGTTTTTATACAATAGCTATGCAATATTTTGCTATAGATTCTATGCGGATGCGGTCGATTAGATGGTACCGAAATTTCAGAAGCTATTTCGACGGCCATACACCTACGGCAGAAAGATATGAAGCCGCTATTTTATGCTCCGGATATTGAGATTTGTGGTATAGTCGATCATTTTACCAGGGAGATTGATACTACCTGTCCTTCTAGAAATGCTCTCGTGGAAGCTGCCAGATTAGCAAGAGCATGTATAAAACCTCTGACCGAGTGCGAAGCTTGTACACATGATGCTCTTATTATACCCGGAGGGTTTGGCGCCGCACGTACTTTGTACATATATATAATAATTTGATAATAAAATAGCGTAGAAAAATAATAAAATACAAGACAAAATAAACCGTATATCAAAACAATATTATAATAGTATAATATAAAAGTCGTGGATGTATTTGATGTTAAAGCATGTAATAATAATTTTCACAAATATTCAACAATCATTTTATATTTATAAAGGAGTAATTTTGTCGAAAAAGGAGCAAATTGCACCGTCTTGCCCGACTTAGAGAAACTTATCGAAGATTTTTACTGCGAGAAAAAACCGATCGGATCTATGTGCATAGCTAGTGTGCTTATCGCTAAAGTGTTGAAAGGCGTGAAAGTTACACTTGGCAAAGAATGTGAGAATAATTGATCATCCTCTCTTGTTGGTATTCTTCTCTTCTTAATATCTGTTGATCATTTTACAGCACCTAAAGAATGCTGGCCATACGCTGATGCTATCAAGAAGGTCAAAGAGATGGGCGCTAAAGTAGAAATGAAAGATGTCAAAGGAGTAACACGATGCAAGAAGTACAACGTTGTCAGTACACCAGCCTGGTTGTATGAACCTGCAACCTATGCAGATATTCACGAAGGTATCGGTAAACTCGTCACGATGCTAAAGAAATGCATAAATAAGTAATATATATTTGTGAATATGTCTAAAAATCATATCTTATAACATTTTCATATTTTAATGATATTTTTTGCTATACTACAATATTTATTATATCTACCATTTTTATACGCCTTTGTATTTTTGATAGGTAAATATTTGGATTATATCTAATAGTATGCATTAATACTTTTGTAATTGAAATTGTAAATTGCAAATCTTATTTTTAAAAATATTAAAATTAACGTTAACGAAGTCTTGTGTGCGAGAATGCGCATTTTTCTAAAGTAGGATAGGATTCTATGGGTAAGGAATCTTATTTTCAAAAAATATACTTTATTCAATTTTTTTACTATGCCTCTTCGGAATGAAATGAGATGAACGAGGCACACGTTTTGGATATATTGTTAGCGCAGGTCAGTAAGCCTAAAAATATAGTTAAAATAATCAACAACAAGTAAAACAACAATGAGTCAAGATCTGCGGTAACGAATCTCCATTGATTTAAAATCGCATTTTTGTTCGCTAAATAATGCGCCAATCTTGGCCGCAAATTTCGTCCGAAGTAAAAATCATCTTGGAATTCTACAAAAATTCCAGCGCGAATACTCAAGTATTCTTTATTTCATAATGATTACGAATGGTAAGAAATGCTTAGAAATTTTCTTATTAATTATATGTAACGTTTTCCTTATAAATTTCGAGGTCGACTGGCAATCTCGTTAAACCTGCAAACACTGAGAGAAATAATTAACATATTTTTATAATTAATTACAAATACAAAATAGACAGTCTTTATTAATTTAATAAATGTATGCGGATCCTCACTTAAAATATATATCCAATTAAAATTAATTTTGTGCGTTGATGCACGCAGCTATAAATCCCGTGTGTTTAATATTATTTGAATAAACGTAATATTGTCATCCTGTTTTCGCTTTAGCTATTAAAATATTAGAAACGTAAACATCACATCGATATAATATAATTACGATATTAATTTTTTGCAAGCAATTTTTGCAAGTCAATTTGACCAGGAATTTTTGTCTGAATGTTTTCATAGATTTTTCTTTTTGTATACATTTTTGCACTTTTAGCACCTAATATGAAACTAAGTCACGTTCGTTTTGAAAAAAAAAAAAATAATAAAAACGAAAGCGAAGCTGTAACTAAAATAACCAGATTTTATGTATATTTTGAAGTATAATATATTCTACGTATGTTGTGTGTTTCGCATAATGACAGGATAACGAGGCCGCACGAATCTCGTGGAATTCAGGTTTAGCTCGAACACAAGTGTCGTTGGTTACCGATTCCAGAATTGAAGCTTACTCGAGCGTAACGTTTACGTACAAGCGATGAATTCAATCAACGTAAATGACGTAAAAGGTCTCCGTGCATAATAGTTAGCTTTGCAAGCGTTTCGCCAAAACGGGAACAGTTCTTCAGAAAGTGTCTACATGGTTGGCATAATTTATAATGTCACATGGAATTTCTTAATCGATGCACTGTAGACTCGAAAAATCTTATAATTAGAATCTCTCAAACTTACGCGATTATCACCTAATGTAGAGAATAGTTTACTCATTAAAGTCAGTTTCGAATCTGACGATGATTGGCTAATAAACAGAAACGGCAGTATTTTATATTTCTAACGCAATATCTTCGCGCATCATAAATGCATTTTTATCCTATAATATCTTAAAATCTAATTAATTATCTCGAATTCTCGAATCGTTTAGGAAATGTTATAGAAAGTTTGTACAGTGGTACATTAAAGACTACGAAATGATGTTTTCGACGCTCATTTCATTTATACTTACAAACCACCGTCGGAGTTCCAACGTTAGGAATTAAATACCTTCTAAACCCAGCGACGTTAATTTCAAAATACGATTTTTAAGTCGCCAGCTTTCCGAATTGATTGAAAAAGTTCGGTACGCGCACACAGTATCGTACGTAAAGATGCGAGTCTTCTCTGTCTCTGACGCACGTTTTCAAAACATTCTTCTCCAATGATAAAGAGACGACTCTTTTCAGAGATACTTTGGTTCTGATCTCGAGGCCAGATTCCGCGTTTGGAAGAAATCCCGAAGTTAGCGTCCGCGTTAACGTACACTTTAGCGATGTTCGTGATCTCTCAGCTAAGAGCAAGTAGTGGCTCGACGGACATGCGGGATCTCCTAGCCTTGTCCTCTTCGTATTGTTTGATTTTCATAAGCTTCCACTTGCCTTTACTCTGTTTCTTTATCGGTGTTTCCGTGGTGGTCATTTCCTCTGTATCAGATTGCTCTTCTTCCTCCAACATTCTCAGAGTCTCGATGATGTTTCTGGGTTCCGTGATACGTCCAGTGGAGGTGCCATTCTTGTTGGCGTACACTACGGAAAGGTGTGAAAAACTGGATTTTGGCGGCGCCGTAATATCGGCGAAATCGCGGAAATTTGCGAAGAAGTCTCCGCCACGGATTGGCTGGGGTTTAGGATTCCTGTAATACTGCGCGCGACCACGATTATGATAGTACGGATTATAGAGGCTTTCGTCTACTGAGTACTCGTCGTTCTCCTTATCCTCCGGATAATATGTACCACCGCGAATCACGCCAAAGTTACCCGAACCTAGTAGGGAATGCTGATCTTTGCTCGTAGCGGCTGGATAATTACGTTCGCGTTGGAAGTAGCCCAAAAATCTGTTAGGACGATATCGTTGCTGCTGCTCCGTCAACGGAAGTCGGTGGTTCGTGAAGAGTTCTGCGAAAGACGGGAAGAAATTTTGACTCTGCGTCTCCAAGCTTCTATCTCCCACATCGGTAAATTGTTCGACGGCGATATGTCGTGTGTTTTTCGCCTCTTGATCCTTGGAAGCGTCGATTTTTTCAGCTTCGAATGATCTCTTCTCGCTCTTATCGGTAGTATCATTGGATGCTTTATCCTGGCTATTATTTCGCGTGCTATTTTCGACGCGATCAGATTGCAAAGTTCCGGCTTCATCCGGCTCCATATACATGTCGGAATCGTCGTATTCTTCGCCTACCTCTGACGCTGATGCCATGGAATCCTGCAACAGAGGAAAAAAATATTATGAATTGTGACGTCATCTTTCGAACAATAAATGCGGAATGCGAGCGGGAGAAAGCTTACCGGTACAAGCAAAGAAATGTTTTACGAGCCACGTTATGGAAACGTGCTGTTTTAAATTCAATAATCTTGTAACGCGCAAACTTTCTTTGCACTTCTATATGCGCACCGATGATTTGTGTAACAAGCGTAACGATTGGTGTGGGCTTTAATATTAAAGAATTGATTGTAAACTGTCGAAATTATCATTATGCTAACCGATTATAATATAATAACTTGATAAAAGAATACTAAGTTTTCTGTTACGTAATTTTCTGCGGTTTGATATTATTTCAAAAAAGTGAATGATACTTTTATTTAACACTAATTCAATGTTACATGATAATTGTGGATTACGCGTTAGCGGAACTTAAATAAAAATTCTAGAAACTCAGCATGGTTATTTCTTATAATTCTTCATTTTTTCATCGTGGTTTCCTTGTTCTAGTCTGTTTCCCTATTCAAGAAATTAACAAGAAAAATATAGATAGTCACTACCGGAACATTACACTTTCTATACCGTTCTTCTCAGAATTATTTTTCTGTATCCACAATGTGACAGCTGCAGCGATTAAAGATCGTTCAAGCATGACAGGAAATATTTCAATAAGTGCAACAGCTTCTTTCCCGGAGTGCATCGACCGAAGAGGGACGGTCTGCGCGTTCAAGCCCACCGTGTCCTCGCCTTGACATTTAAGACATCTTCGTGCGAGACTGTTTGTGCTCAAGACTAGTCACCATAGGTCATACGTAACCCATACATTGTACGGTGTACCATCCACGCATACCATAATATCGCATTGTATAAGAGCGCGGTACGATTGTATACCGACCACGTGCGTCGTGGTAATGCGTACGAAGGGCGTAGATGGTCGTTGAAATTGGTTGCAACACATCAACGAGACACGCCTAGCATTGTTACGAATATGTCAGGTCAACACTCGTCTGATATAGCTGTATCTGCCTTCTCGAAGTTAATATAATACCTTGCTCCCGTATCAAAGTTGTTCCTACAAATGCGACATTAAGCTCGTACATGAATCTAGTTTTATCGTCAACTACAACACATTTATTATACATGTCAATTCATAATGCAATGTGTACATTAGAGATATGCACCTCTCTCTCTCCCAGAAGATATATTGATTAACTCTACTTTTTGTAGATTTCTAAATTTTAGTATTAAAGCGCTAATTATATGCTTTGATAGTAAAATTTAAAAAAATTTATAAAAAATGAAGTTGATCTCATAATACTATTCAAACAGAGACAATTATTATGAAAGATTTTGTAACAAAGCGATTATAAATCAATACGAAAAAGAATGGCTTTGATGAAGAAGGATCGTGGTAGCCGTTCCGAATGTTATACGGGCGTGTAGACAATAAATTCTACACGCACCGGCGAATGAGCTTGATGGATGCGTCTTTGCAGCCCATAATGTGAAATGAATGATAGACTTTACGAGCAAGATTCTATGCACGGAGTTTTGATCGTATCAGAAAGAAAATAATGTGTCGCAGTTAATCACTTCAGTGTAATTATTCGCCTGCTTCGACTAATGTAATTAGACGGCACTACAAAGCTTACAGGTGAGACAAATTGAAACACTACCTTTGCGACATCATATTATACAGAAAAATTTGAATTTGAATGTTTGTTCATCTCGATTGACACGTAATAATTAAATATCCATGATATTAGCTATAATGGCAATAATCATGCAAACATTAGTTTTAATTAGAAAATAAATTATTCGCTACCGTGTATTATAATTTATTGCGATGTGTGTATAGTATATGATAATAGTATAAATCTTTCAGAATTGTGTTGCACACACAGATACGAAATAGGTGATCTGTAGAGAAAGCTCATTGAAAATAATAGAGACAGGGAACAGTGAAATTAATATTATGCCATATAATTAGAAGAGTTGAGTATAAAAAAAGAGGAAGAGACAGGTTATAATTATGTGATTACAAGGCATGATTTAATCAGTTCATATGTCCAAAAGAGTTGCAAGATAAATGCTATAATAAAAATACTAGTATTTCCATCCAATGTAGATCTTAATATTTCATCGTATGTGTGCGTAGATATTTATTAAAGAATTCTCTGAAATATACAACTATTATTCTGACAAAAGAACACACAAATATGAGCGTTACTACATTTCAATAAAATTGATAAAAATGTATATTAATAGTAATTATATCATGTACGTTATTAAATAATATTGTTAAAAGAAAAGATATATAAGTCTCAAACTCGGAACAAATATATTAATGTAACAGAAACATACTTGATCAGCGATAATAAGAAAGTAAAAAAATACAAAAAGACGTATGATAATTGTTATGCATAATTACAGAACGCAATTAGTTTCGCGATTTGCACTTGATAAATACACTAAGTACTTATTAATTTAAGAATTACAGTATAACTGACAAAATAGCAAGCGTTTAAACAGAAAGTTCTTATGGCAGCTTGTCTGATCTCACACACAAACGTATTATCTCCTTCGCCACTTATCTCCCGACTTTTTTACATGTAATATTCAAACAGGATCTAAACTAGTATGAAAGACTTAATAGTCTTTGTAACGATCGAAACTGACGAAGATTGACAAAGAGAAGAAAGCTGAGAGGAAAAGAAGAACACGCTATTATTACATGATTACAAGACGCAAATTAGTCTTGCAATGTATTTTTTTACCAGGTAAAATATACGATGTGCATCTGAAGATTATTATATTATCTCGATGTGTGCATGTGCGCTATCCAGTTAACTATAGCGCGTCTATCCCCGTCGGTTGGTATGAATTATATGTGAATTAGGGGCAATCACACAGCACGAGCAGCCGCGGGCAATACGATGGATGATCCGCGGTTCTTAGAGCAACGCGAATCGTCTTAGCACGAGGAAACTTATAAGCTACATTAGCGAAGCGCATGTGTTGTGACACGCGAAAGTGCGGCAGGTATCCTGGAGCGAAATCGACATAAGTTGCTCGGCTGATCGATCGTGAAATACAAGCTTGTACTTTTATAATGCCTTTTTTCATAAAGTTAAAAGAGCTTAAATAAAATCAGTTGCGCGCAAAAAATCCATATATTAGAGAAATTCATTGATTAAAGCATTATAATTGTCATCATTAATTATTTTATATCTTGTTTTGTTTTATTGATTTAAAAAAAATTTACGATGTATGAATAAATAATGACGTAAAGAGAAAATTATTTTCAGATGTAAAAAAATTAATATTTTTTTCTTTTCTTTTTACTTTAAAATAGAGCTGTTACAAAAATAATATATTGCGGCGACATAAAAAAATGATTATTATCATCTAACAAAAAAATTCTCGTTGAATTTATTCAAACATAAAAAATATTATATAGAGCATATTTATGCGCAAGCTATATAAAATTGTTTTCCTGTGTACTTTTTGACGTATAATCGTCGATTAGCATATTGTTATAATATTATATTTCATTGTCAATGATTGCTCGTTTGCGTCGTCATAAATGTAATTTACAGCATGCTGTCAATACAATCTCTGGGCGAAATAATCGCACATCTGATTTATTACTCGTCATCCATGAGCGCTCAGACAGCGTTACGTTATGGATATGGAAACAGGAATATACTACTTGCATTTATTGCGACAAATGCAATTATACTTTAGCGATGGTTAGAATTATAAGTGTGACGGTCAAGAGCAGGACATAATCAAAACAAATGCAGATATATTGTATTTGCATTTTTCATGTATACCTATATTTTTTATATTTAGTTATATTGATATAAGAAAAGAAAGAAATGTAAAATATAAATATAAAGAAAAGCATACATATATACATATTCACGTTTGCGTATATAAATGAAAGATAAGATAAGATAAATTAAATTGTGATAATTTATTTTATATGTTAATAACATAATATCTTTGCAACTATGAAATTAATATATTTCTGACTACGCTATAAGTTACGAAGACATTTCGTAATATATCAAATTGATCAGAAGATCTTATCTTCGCTCAAGTATAGATCGTACAATGGTTGGCGTTAATAATCGTGCGGATAACTATCTTCATATAAACTAATTTAATATAATACGCGAAAGGAGAACACGAGATCTTTTGTTGAAAACGAGATGATATCTGCATGAATCTGATGATAATCCGTGTAAAATATGTAGGCGACTACTGAGGCAGTCCTTTCGCTTTACATATATGTCGCGATTTCCGATTTAAATCAGGCTTTATCAGGCTTTAAACATTCGAATTGCAGCACAGCGTGGCAATACTATATATGCAGTCTCTTTCTTTTTATTATTCTTAAAAAATTTTTCTTACCTCGTGTTCGACAGCGTGTTCGTCCTCGGGAACCGGCGCTCCATCTGAAACAAAGAACAAATCTTTGTGAGAAAGGTTGCATTCTACTGGTAGATGTGTATGCGACACGCGCACAACACGGTTAAATTGAGGGTACTGATATTTACGACCCAGTTATACACCGTAGGCAAAGAGCGAAACACCTTTGAGACAAACATGCATCCGCGAATCGCGGTGGAACGACTTCGATGGTCGATATCGAAACTTGACAAAACATGCTGCAGTCCGTTAATGATTACCCTCGATTGCGCGCGCGGATCATTGAACCGGTCGTCGCATCACTATAACAGTTGTTCGCTGTGTATTGCATCGCGATTTTCAAGGAGCTTTGTGGAATACCTTGAAGACGCTACATAGATTACATATATATATATATATATATATATATATATATATATATATATCTGCCGCAAAACATGTTACAAACGAGTTGTAA